GAGATGCCTGGCAGCCTCCCAGTGCCGGCTGCTGCCTGCGTTCATCCCACAGCATGGGTCGGGATGCGGGAGATGACCTGCTGGGAGCTGCTGGAGACCCTTCTAGAGAACAGGGCTCCGTTCGGGCTGTGCAGCTTTCGGATAAGTGCTGCCCCAGCTCTGGGTGCCCAAGGGCAGAGGCTGGGACCTGATTGCCCCCCTTTCAGGAGAGCGTGCGGGTGCCTTCACGGTGATCTGCAGTGACGCAGAGGAAGCCAAGAGGGTCGAGTCCCAGCTGAAGATCCTCATCCGCCCCATGTACTCCAACCCACCCCTGAACGGAGCGCGCATCGCCTCTCTCATCCTGAACACCCCTGACCTACGGAAGGAGTGGTAAGAGGGAACCCCGAACGCTCACGAGAGTGAAATGCGAGGTCTCTTTTCAGCAGCCCTGTGCTTAATGCCTGCTGCTGTCCTGGGCAGCTCTTAGCTTCAGGGGTGCAGTCAGAACCACGTGCCACCCCTTTCCTCTGGAGAAATCCCGGCTTGTGTCCTGGTATCGGCCCAGCCTGGCTGGCACAAACAGGTTTCCTTGGTGTTACTAAGGCAGAACACACTGTAAAGGAAGAGAGAAAGCTCCCCTGGGATTGGGGGTTGCAGGACCTGCCGACCCAAAGAGTGTAGAAGACTGGCTGAGGTGGTGTAGCCATGTAGCATGTCGCACAGGGCAAGTGGAAGTGTAAGCCCCCTGGGAATAAGACCCAAGAATGTAACCCTCATGCCCTAAGCCTGCTTCCTGGCATCAGCCTACGCTGCTCTCCCAGCCCCTCGGTGTCGAGCCCCTGCTGGCAGCTGGCCTGGCAGAACAAAGGCTGGCAGTGTGGTGTGGCCTCGCTGGAAGCTGTGTTCCTTTAGCACGCTGAGGCTTGTGCCCGAGCCAGGCCCCAGCAGAGATGTCTCCAAGCTGTGCTGCCTTGGAGCAGGGGGTGGCTGCCTGCGCTGTAAGGTACCCCCTGTGCTCTTCGTTTATCAAGGGAGGTTCTCCTCCTCCTCTACTCTGCCCTGGTGAGGCCCCATCTGGAGTACTCTGTCCAGTTCTGGGCTCCCCAGTTCAAGAAAGATGAGGAGCTACTGGAGAGAGTCCAGCAGAGGGCTACGAGGATGAGGAGGGGGCTGGAGCATCTCTCCTACGAGGAGAGGCTGAGGAAGCTGGGCTTGTTCAGACTGGCGGATAGCAGGCTGCGAGGGGACCTAATTTATGCTTGTAAATATCTGAAGGGTGGGTGTCAGGAGGATGGGGCCAAACTCTTTTCAGTGGTGCCCAGCGACAGGACAAGGGGCAA